TTGCCATGTCAAACCTCAAACCCACCTTGTCCTAGCAAATTGTTGTTTGGCTATGTTACCGCTTTGCTCAGCCCCTCTTATAGCGTTGCTAGTTGCAGGTGAAGATTGGAGTTTGTTCCTTGTTGGAACATGTTTATTGTTGGTTATCATTATTATATCTTATTTACTTTAATGCACCTATATACTTGGTAAAGGATGGAATGCTCGGCCTTATGCCTGGTGTTTTGTTCCACTCTTGCCGCCCTAGTTTCCGTCATACCGGTGTTATGTTCCTTGATTTTGCGTTCCTTACATGGTTGGGTTATAATGTGAACCCCTTGACAGCTCGCCTTGAATAAAACTCCTCCAGCAAGGCCCAATCTTGGTTTTACCATTCGCCACCTAGCCTTTTTCCCCTGGGTTTCGCGGACTCAAGGGTCATCTTTATTTTAACCCCCCGGGCCAGTGCTCCTCTGAGTGTTGGTCTGAAACGGGCAGCCTACGGGCCACCTCGGGGCAACTCGAGGGTTGGTTTTACTCGTAGCTTGACCTATCCGGTGTGCCCTGAGAACGAGATACGTGCGACTCCTATCGGGATTTGTCGGCACATCGGGCGGCTTTGCTGGTTTTGTTTTACCATTGTCGAGATGTCTTGTAATCGGGATTCCGAGTCTGATCGGGTCGTCTTGGGAGAAGGAATATCCTTCGTTGACCGTGAGAGCTTGTGATGGGCTAAGTTGGGACACCCATGCAGGGTTTTGAACTTTCGAAAGCCGTGCCCGCGGTTATGGGCATATGGGAATTTGTTAATGTTCAGTTGTAGAAAACCTGAAACTTAACTTAATTAAAATGTATCAACAACGTGTGTAGCCGTGATGGTCTCTTTTCGGCAGAGTCCGGGAAGAGAACACGGCCTCGTGTTATGCTTGAACGTAAGTAGTTCTAGAATCACTTCTTGATCATAGATTCTCGACCGTGCTTGGCCTTCTCTTCTCGCTCTCTTTTGTGTATGTTAGCCACCATATATGCTAGTGCTTGCTGCAGCTCCACCTCATACCTTTTCCCTACCCATAAGCTTAAATAGTCTTGATCGCGACGGTGTGAGATTGTTGAGTCCCCGTGACTCACAGATTACTTCCAAAACCATATGCAGGTGTCGATGATGCCGTTCCAGGGGATGCGACTGAACTCAAGTGGGAGTTCGATGAGGACTCAGGACATTACTATGTTTCTTTTCCAGACGATCAGTAGTGGAGCCTAGTTGGGGTGACCGGGGATCTTATGCATTTGGGGTTGTCTTTATTTTGGTTCCATAGTCGGACCTTGATTATATCTGGATGATGTAATGCTATATTTATGTACTGTGTGAAGTGGCGATTATAAGCCAACTCTGTACCTCTTTCTTATTCAGTACATGGGATGTGTAAAGATTACCCCTCTTGCGACATGCCTACAATGCGGTTATGCCTCTAAGTCGTGCTCCGACATGTGGGAGATATAGCCGCATCGTGGGTGTTACATCGGTCCACCTTGCGGTGTATAACCCTACTCCTGCTTTGTGATGGATTGCCTCGCGAGGAGGATGAGTATGAACTGGTACAAGGGATGAGCTGCCTCGCGAGGGCTCGGGGGATGAATGGATCGGATCCCTCTCTACGATGGAGACTAACCTATATTTATAGGGGCCTTGGTCCTCTTCCCTCATGGTTTAAGCGAGAAGGGATACCACGGTCGCCAATTTCGAAGGGGGACAGGAGTACACCCTATCCCGACTAAAGGTGGTCTTCGCCTCCAAAGCTTCTAGTCGTGACGCAGTGGTGGGCTCGATGATGACCTCCGTCCTGCCGAGCCAGCGGTCTTGGCCTTGTAGCATTGAAATGAAAACCTTTGGAGGACTCCTTGGGAACCCGCGTATGTCCTTGCCTCCTTAGCACCAAAGAGGAAACTGTCCTCTCCTGCGCCCGCTGGGGCCCTCCTGGCGTTGGTCGTCATGGCTCACGTCATTGCACCTCTCGCGAGGTGGGTGCAAGCCTAGAGAAGTTCGCTCCTCGGGAGGCAGCCTCGGGAGGCCACTCCCTCAGGGGTCTTGATGTCGTTGGCCTCGCAAGGCAGGGGCCCTCGCAAGGGTCTTGCTCGTGAAGTCCTGGAGCTGGGCCACGCCGGGCCGTTGGTGGAGCCGCGCGCTGGGCCGTAGGCAGACGGGTCTGGGTATCCCCGTTCCCAGGACCCTGACAAATTAAACTTGCCATCTCACACTATTTTTTTGCCATGTCTACTAATTTTGCCATGGTTTTATTTTTTAGTATTGTTGCTGCTGTAATAAACAATCAATTCGTCAACATATCATTTTGTGATATGGTTGGGTCCTTCTTGAGGATACATTACAGATTTACCTAGTTGCCATGTTTTGCAGATAACCGAGTTTTGCAATCTCACATAAATTTACCATGTGAAGTAAGTTTATCATGTGGCGAATCAACATGTGTTGGATGGTTAGGATGACAGTGATATCCCCAATCCACTAGAGTTCAAGTCCTAGGCTTGACATCATTGCTCGCATTTTTTTGGATTTATTTCAGGTCTTCCGGCGATATGCGTTCAGTGGGAGGAGACGTTCCCGTCGACTACGAAGGCGTGTGTGGCGACTTCCTCAATATCAAGATGATGTGTCGGCTCAGTCTCAGAGGTGCTCATAAGGTACACTATGCATGTGTGTGTTCATATGTGTGAGTGTGTGTGGGCATGTATGAGACTATGATTGTTAAGAAAATTGTCATGTGAGAACTATGTCCCTACAACCCTAAATTTGTCATGTAATCATTACATTTTTCCAAAAGTTGCCAGGTTCCGGAACTTAGTAATATGATCTCTAATACATGGCTAATCTAATCCATGCAAAAAATGTGATAAAAGACATAATCTTGTTAGGAGATCATTATAATCATGTTTTTCAACCCATGGCAAACTTGTTTTTTTTTTGAGTTTTCACATGGCAAATTCATAACATTTTTTATCTTTCAAACATGGCAAATTTAGGTCTTGTTGCAACACTGACATGACAAGATTTATGACTTTTCCTCACTAAATCATGGCAAATTTAGTTTCATTGGTTCTGGCAATTTGGCTTTCTGAACAGTGGCAAATTTAGTTTATGGGACATGGCGATTTTTAAACTTTTTCATAGTTACCATCTGTAGTAGACAAATATTTGCCGTCATGATTTTGTCAGGGGAACTTCACGTTTTGACCATGGGAAAAAAAATTGGTTACAATGGCAAAAAAAAATGTTGGACCTTGCAAAATGTACCATGGTCTTTACTTGGTGGACCATGGTGAATAATTTGCCATGGTCAATGTTTTTTTTAACACGGCAAATTTGTTACCATGGCAAAACTGTGTGGTTTGGTCCCATGGCATTTCCCCCCAAAAGCGTGTCTCATACATCATAGCAAAATTTGAAATATTTTTTCCTGAAAATAGTCACTCGATAAGTGTATGAAAATTTGATCATCATAACATTTTAGCTTTTTAAGAACATGCCAAATTTTACTTTGTAGCATGGCAATTTTTTTTTACTTTTGTTGGCACGGCAAAATTTACCTTTCATTTTTGGCATGGCAAATTTTACCATTATTGACATGCCAAATTTGCGTATAATGCTATGGAAAATTCTTTGATATTATTTCCATTGTAATTTTTTTTTGCCATGGCAAATTTACATTTATTGCATAGTTACTTTTATTGCCATCACAAAATTTCCTAACTATCACATCAATTAATTTTTTTGGAAATTTCTGGAAGTCCTAACTATCATATACTATCAATTAAAAAATTTCTAGTCTTTAGTGGTCGACATGATGCTTAATTGTGTGCACTACCATCAATCTGGTCACGGATGTAATAATTACAAGTTGCCGAGATGATTGGCAGACCATGTACTAAAAGGCATAGCGATGATCGAAAGAGCCAAACTAGAGCCCCATCGACCCAACAGTACTAGTTGTTTTGCTTGGAGGCCTCTTTTGCTTGCTTCTTGGTCACCAAATACTCCATTCGACGTATCCCTGTCAGCGATGGAAATCATTCACCAACCGGGCAACCCGTGTTGCGTAAAGGATCATCTCGCCGTGTTAGCTTGGAATCACATATGCATGTAGGTTCACTCTCGAAGTCTTCTATCCAACATGTACAATACCGGCAACATGTAGTAATCCAGGCTGCATATATTTGGCTTCATCGACTTTGTGCGCAAACTGAACTATCTGATGTTGATGATGCGGGGAAACACGCAGTTAAATGACACATATGCATCATGTACGATCCCCTTGATTTTCAGGAACTTAAGTTCCGTTGCGGTATAAATTGAAGAGAGAATTCGGCGATAAATAATACTGGAAAATTTCTATAGACTGAATTCACCGTTAGCGCGTAAGTGCCATCTGAAAGAAAATTGTCGTTGATGTAGCATCACCCTATTTTTTGCCGTGAACTTGGGAGTTTTATTGCTGAAGTGTAAGTTTGTTATGGTCAGCCAGACGATAATTCATAGCGGAGCCCGAGCTCATCAGCCCCGGTGAACAGTTAACTTGAAAAAGAAAATTCAGAAGTATCTGAATTTTTTTGACACGACGATGCTCAAATTTTCTAGGTGCTCCAGGAGGAGTTATGTCAATAAATAAATAAATTTAAGAGCTCCAAAATATCTAAAGTTGCTCTGAGTTTTCCTAGCTCTAATTTTTTTTTTGTACACTAGGCTCCTCCGAAGTCATCTCACGATGAAAATTTACATGTACCAAGAAAATTTGAGACGCTTTGGTGTCAAACAAACACAACGTATCAGATTTTTTTGAATTTGCTTGCTATATTTTCTGAACATACTGTTGATGCACTTGGGTGCAGATGCAGGGATCTACTAGTACTACTATTTGCTCAAATGGTCAAAAACAACTATGCAGGGCCTCTCCTAATATAACAGAAACAGTTTCAGCATCCAGCTTGGTTTTCAGGGGAGTCGCTACTCACTATCCAAGACACTTTGTTAATGAAGTGACCATGACCGAATCATCGGTTTCCTCGTCGGGGCAAGCAAGAGGCTCTGGTGCTGGGACCAAGATGTTGCGGGAAGGATCTGCCGCCTTCTTCACCACTTCATACTTGAGCCCCTTGTTGTGGTCGGCGGCATCAATGGAGATTGTTGAGCCTTCGCCAACTTCTCCTTTGACAAGCATCTCACAGATGGTGTTCATCACATTCTTCTGTATCCACCTTTTAATAGGCCTTGCACCGTACATCTGTGACAACACAAAGTTTGAACAGTTAGTTACCAAAGATTGTGTATGATTTCAAAAACGAAGCTGCGTTACTTACTGGCTCGTATGACTCTGACAAGATAACGTCCAATGCAGCATCACTCGTGTGTAGAGAGATGCCCTTCTTAGCTACTCTGGCAACAACGTTCTTCATCTGGATTTTCACAATCTCCTTCAGTTTGTCGTGTGAAAGCGGCTCAAATATCACAATCTCACTCAGCCTGTTGAGAAGCTCGGGCTTGAAGCGTTTCCGGACCTGCACAAACATATGTTAGTCAACACCGAGGCTACTGCAGCATTTACAGGGGCAGTAAAGGGCTCACAAACCTCTTTCATGACAAGCTTGTGTGTTTCTTGCATTGTGTTCTTTCCAACCATTCCTGCTGCAAGGTGCTTTGACCCAAGATTTGAGGTCATAATGATGATGGTGTTTTTGAAATCTACTGTTCGGCCTTTGCCATCGGTCAACAAACCATCATCGAGGAGTTGAAGAAAAACATTGTACACCTCGCGATGCGCCTTCTCCACCTCATCAAACAGGATGACACTGTACGGGTGACTCTTGACTTTTTCAGTCAGTTGTCCTCCATCGTCATAACCAAAATAGCTGTAAGAATACACAAGAGCATCATTAAAACCAGCCAAACTAAACACTAGGTATGATGTGGTAATGTACAAACCTTGGAGGTGCTCCAATGAGGCGCAACACAGATCCCTTCGTACCGTATTCGGACATGTCAAAGCGAACCAACATATTTTCATTGTCAAATAGCTGCTCAGCAAGAGCTTTTGCAAGCTCTGTCTTTCCAACACCAGTCGAGCCCAAAAAGAGGAAAGAACCTATTGGTTGGCCCGGCTGATCAAGGCCGACTCTGGAACGTAGGACCGCCTGTGCAACCAAATTGACCGCCTCGTCCTGGCCAACAACTCGCTCATGCAATTTTTCTGCTAAGTGTAGTAGTTTCTCCTTCTCCCCTTGATCAATAGCAGCGACAGGAATTCCAGTCCACAGGCTCACAACCTTTAAGACATCATAAAATAAGAACGGAACATGGCATGCACACAACACACTGAAATAATGGAAATTATTCATACTAGGACTGCCTACCTGTGCGACCTGACCCGGACCAACAATTCCTTTCTTCACTGCTTTTATGGATCTACTTTGTGCAGTCACTTCTTTTTTGTTGTAACTCTGCGTCCTGGTGCCAGTTGCTTCACTTCCGCTGTCAACCAGCATCCTTGTGGTAGCGCATGCCTCATCGATCAGATCAATTGCCTTGTCAGGAAACTGGCGATCTACAATACAGACATCAATAGAATCCATCAAATTTCTCCGGCATATATACATATTTGGATGCAACTCCATGCAAACATCGCGGGCTGACCAAACAAAGTAAAATTCTGCGCGTACCAGTGATATAGCGGCCAGCAAGCTCTGCGGCAGCAACCAGAGCAGCATCCTGAATTTCCAAGACATGGTGGTCTTGGTACCGCTGTTTAAGCCCCTGCAGAATGGTGACGGTCGCCTGCACGCTCGGCTCCTTAACATGAACCTTTTGGAATCGCCGCTCGAGTGCGGCATCCGTCTGAATGTACCTGTGGTACTCTTTGAGAGTGGTGGCGCCCACGCAGCGGATGCGGCCACGGGCCAGCGCCGGCTTCAGCAGGTTGGCGGCATCCGTGCCACCGACAACATCACCAGCACCAAGAAGCATGTGCATCTCGTCGATGAACAGGATCACCTTGCCATCCCCAGCCTCCGCACTCTTTATCACATCCTTGATTCGCTCCTCAAACATGCCACGGAGACTTGTCCCGGCCAGCATGGCCCCGAGGTCGACCTCCACCACACGTGCTCCGGCAAGGTTGGCAGGGACTTTCCCACTGGCAATGCGCTGGGTGAGGCCCTCGATGATGGCCGTCTTGCCGACCCCTGCCTCCCCGACGAGCGCGGCGCAGTTCTTGCTCCGGCGGCAGAGAATGCATATGACCCGGTCGATCTCCTTGTCGCGCCCGATCACTGGATCGCCCTCGCCCTCCGATGATCCCCCCATCTTCCGGCCGAAGCTGCATAGGCAGGCACGGTATCGGTAGTACCTCCACGCTGCCCAACACAAGCCAGCAGTTGCTCCAAGCCAGAGCACAGGTTCGATTTCTCGCCAAACCCTTGTCAAATGTTGCGAGGCCTCGACCCCCAACTTAGACCCTCCCATGATGCCAAGCGATAGCCTGTAGAAAATTGTGCCGCACAGGGCAAAACGTTGGATTAGTTCGTCTATATATATAAGATATAGAAACCAAGTACCGCAGATGTTGTGTTCTACTAGGATTAGACTTTGAATTCTATACACGGTCGGATTCCCAAACTGTACCCGTCTCGATTTGGAACTTAGGGACGGAGAAAAAATGTTACCTTTCTTCGCGCGGTTGCTCCAGTGCTCGCTTCCGCCTGGAACCCTCGTCGCCTCGACCTGGTCAGGTGCGCACCGGCGCCGCTCGAGTCCGAGTGTGCCCCTCGTCGCCTCGACCCGGTCAGGTGCGCGCCGGCGCCGCCCGAGTCCGACTGTGCCGCTCGCCGCCGCCTTGGATGCCTCGTCGCCTCGACCCGGTCAGGTGCGCGCCGGCGCCGCTCGAGTCCGAGTGTGCCGCTCGCCGCCGCCTTGGATGCCTCGTCGCCTCGACCCGGTCAGGTGCGCGCCGGCGCCGCCCGAGTCTGAGTGTGCCACTCGCCGCCACCTTGGGTGCCTCGTCGCCTCGACCCGGTCAGGTTCGCGCCGCCGCAGCTCGAGTCCCAGCCCGGCGCTATCTCCTCTCCGACACCCTGGACCCTCGACCTGTTCAATTCTCCGCCGGCACCGCTCGCGTCTCAGGCCGCCGCCCTAGAGCCCTCTCGCCTTCGGACTTGCAGGCTCGGCCGCTCGAGTCTCAACCCGGTCTGGTCACGCCCGGTCTAGGACTCAAAGTGTCAAGCACTAGGAACCTTTTTTTTTAAGATCCAGCAAATTGCTGGCTTGATTCAGATTTAGCAGGAAGCAACGGAAACATAACATGGTGAAGATCCGAAGATTAAAGAAAAAAAACAACAACTTTAGTGGTTGCAGAACAATACTACACTCCACGGAGCGCCATCCACCCAATACAAGGCAGCGCAGCTCCGGCCCCGGTAACCACGAGTCCCTCTGACCGGATCCACCTTCAGAACGATGCCCCCAAAAGAGAAAGTGACGCTGAATAGCGCCGCCATCGTTCGATTAAACTAGATAAGGGTTTCCCCTGAAGCACGTCGAGAGAGACAAGGTGGAAGCTGCTACATCGATGCCTCCAACAAGGGAGCGACGCCAGAAGGTGCCGCCATCGACGACTCCGGCCATAACTGGAGTGCGACTTTCGTCGGCAGTTCCACCTGCATAGCCTGAGCCCAGGATCCGATCAGCCTACACACGAGACCACCACCTGTGCCTCCACGGCCAACTGCACCTCCTCGGCAAGCCCGACGAGCTTCCAACCTTGCGTCCGCGTCCCCCACTGGACGAAGGATGCAACCCTCGCAGCGGTGCCATTCTTCTCCCATCGGAAAGATGCAACCAAGCAACACGCCACTCGTCTCCTCGAGGATGCAACGCCTGCGGGTCATTCCTCTCCCGACGAAGGATGCAACAACCGCCGCGACGCCATTCCTCTCCCTCCAGCCACCACCATCTCTTCCTCCCACCCGCAGCAGCGTCGGGCTGTCCGAACCACCATCAGGAGGATGCAACACCGAGCAAGGGTGCCATCCATCTCCCACAGCTTCTCCCATGCAGCTAATGGCCGGCCCCAACGCCGACGTTCGTGCTCATCCCGCGCCCATCACGTTGCAGATCTACGCAGAGCAACAAGCGCACTCGCCTTCCCGGATCTGACTGCAACGCATGTCCGTGCGCAGCACCACTCCTCCCCTCCAGACGCGTGCCGGCAGCCGCGCCAGATCTGTACCGCCCCGTGCAGCTCCACTCCTCCCTCCACCTCGCGCGCCGGCGGCCAAGCCAGAGCCCACCCGGCGGCAAGCCCTCCGCAACTCCAGTCGGTGCTCTCCCGGCGCGGCGCGCCCGCGTCCCGCGCGACCTCGACGCGCCGCCGCCATCCACGCCTCACCGCCCGCACCGCTCAACAGCGCACGTCAGATCCGCGCCCGTAGCACCTGAGTAGAGGAGCTCCACCGTCCCAGCCCGCCACCGGATTGGCGCCACACACCAGATCCCGCGCTCGCGTGCCAACGCCAACGTGCGCCCGCGCATCCGTGCGCCACCCCGCAGGCCAGCCGCGCCGCCCCGAGCGCGCGCAGCAGCTCGGGCTCCCGCAGAGGCCACCGGCCCACGCCAGCCACCTCTAGACGGAAGGGGGACAGAGGCCCCGCCGCCGCCGAGCCGCGCGGGCTTTACCTGGCGACCGCTGCCGGCGGCGGCGAGGGGAGGAGGAGGATGGTGGGTGGGCTGCTGGCGGCGGCGGCGGGTCTGCTCCCGAGCCGCCCGCAGGGGCGACGCGAGAGCCCGTATCAAAAATTGGCATGTCACTTGCTGTTGAACTTTTTTTAACAAGGGCTGGCCCCCAAACTTTATTTGACTAGTAGAGTGCTCGTGCGTTGCTACGGGCTTATGAAAAAAATACCATCTTGTAATCTTCAAAATTATGTCCATAAACATATTATATTATAACCTAATAAAAAGGAGGATGAAAATACCATATTGCAATATTCAATATCTTTTATCATTGATCAGTGAGGTATAACCTAAATAATCGTTATGTACATGCAAGATAGTAAAGAACATTTCCTTCTCATGAACATGCATACTTTGAGCTTTGAAGCGTTCTTGTACTTCACTGCCATATAGTTTTGCCATATATCATGCATGCTTTGCACCTATAGTTTTGATCTACCCACCTGATCCATTGTGGGAAGAATGTTATATGGCTATATAGACTTCACCGGAGAGAATACATTATGCAATTTCCACGTGTCAATGTTAAATAATCATGTAAAAGGAAAATAAAAGTAAAAGTGAGTCTAATGATAGAAATGAGTAAGAAAATGAAAAATTGAAAATAAAGAATCTTAGGGCATGTCCAATGCCGTCTGCTAAAACGGACAAACTATTGTGTGGTCATATTTATGTTTTCGTAGCGTGCAGGTGGACGAATTTGGCATATTAATATAAATATGAACCAACATGATGAAAGCACATCACGGGTGTAGTGATTGTTGCAACTCTTGTTCTCTTATTTCATCTTTCTGCATTTTGTTAGCCTTTGAATATATCCATGTTTGCAGATAAACCTTATCTATGTGATGGGCAACACAATAATATTTTGTCAAGAGATGTCTACCTAGATTTGTTTGCTGAAGCCACTGCTCGATGTCCACTATTCGATAAAAATGTTGAATTAAACACTTATAATTAATCTTTCAAACTGATTAGGAAGTAGAGATAGTATGTATTCTATAACTAAGGGAATGTAAGAGAAGTACTTGCTTGACAATGAAGGAAGACTTGCTAGTTTTTGTAAAACCTATTCAACTCTGACATCACTGTTATATGTTTTTATTTCTCTAGGGACCGCAGAGTTATTCTACATAAGGAAAATAAATAACATAGTGATACATGTTTTTCTTGCCTTAACCCAATAAGGTGTAGTAAACATAAATATGATCAATCAGAATAATAAGGGGATAAAAAGGATGCCAAGAAATTAACCATCAAGCATAAGAAGCAATATATTATCAATATGACAAAAGAGTTGCTACAAATTTAATTAAAATCCTTCTTTAAATAGGGATTTCCACCAGGTTCAGAAATCAAGTAGAAAACAACAGTTCAGTGCATGTTCAAGGAGTGTTATAGGCCAGCCATTATATTATCATCTCATATTACACATTTCAAAATATACTTTGTGACACATATTGAACTACATAGTTCTTGCTTATTTCATCTCACCTATTTTTTACATCTAACAGTAGGATTCTCTAGATCAACTCCCCGCAAAGACCTGCGTCAAGGGAGGAGGACCTCTACCTACTACATATCACTGAGCATGTCGATGGCGAGCCATGGAGAAGAGGGCAAGCCAGGCTGGCTGGGGAAGCAAAGGAGATGCAATGTTGTGATGGTGCCGGCTTGCTGCCCCATGGTGGCGGAAGTCATCACATCTAGAAGATACGAGAGAAAGCCATGCGTGTGAGCCCCATGTCCTAAGTGGCGAATGCGACGCGCATAGCGTGCGAGCGTGGCTGGCCAAAATCTTAGCCGGTGAGGTGTCACAAATAATTTACCTAGAAAGTTTTGATTGTTTTCTTTTTTCAAATCCTTACTTTTTTACGAATCTAAGCAAATTGGATTGGACAACGCCACACACTCACTACACTCACTCTCAGTTGCGTGATTTCAAGAGTTAATATTCTAGAGAAATCTTGGTTGTAGTAGATGACTGATTAGAAAACAACTATCCATAAATTAGTGCATGTAGTTTTGGTATCCTACGTGTAGGGGTGGGCAAAAAAACAAAAAATAAATCCATTTTAAACCCTAAACTCGTAAACGTTCGGCGAAACGAACCCCCAAATTGAAATCCCGGTCGATTGCACCCTAAACTATGCAATCCCGGTCTAAATCAAACCCTCACGAATGTCATCGGGATTTGTCTAGCTGGTGGGCCAAGAAGCACCCGTCCTCCGCGCTGGGCCAGCCCATTTATTCTTTTGTTTGCTCAAAAAAATTTGTCTTTATTTTTCTGTCGCCCTTTGCGGCAGAAATGCGGACGGGCCGGCCCATTGCCAGGAAACGAGCGAAGTACGAAAAAAATGTAACGAACTTGTGCCGCTGGTTGGATTCGAACACGCGACCTTCGCTCGATGGCCGCGACGCCAGCCAGTGCAACTAGCGATTGGGATGCGAATTGTAGTACAGCGTAAGATTAAAGTAGTATGGTCAGCGACAGATCCCTTTTTTAAATCTTCGCTCAAAAAAAATGAACAATGTTTCTTGAAGAAATTTAAAACTCAAACAAACTGTTAAAACGTGAACAATTATTGAAAACATGAACACAAATTTATATACGACGAACGATTTTCAAATATACATTGAACATTTTTTAGGTGTACGATGACCAATTTTTAACTAGACAGTGAACATTTTTGTGATATACATTGAAATAATTTATAACATATTATACATTTTTG